AGGGGGTTTCAGGTTCAGGGTTTAGGGGGTTTAGGGTTTAGGGTTTTGATTTCTGGGAGACAACAGAACAAGTTTAAACCACACCGGCTTGAATGTCCATGGACGTCAAGAGTAAGTTGTAAGAATTAATTGGCCTTGTAAGAAAAAGCCAGCGCCACCACGAACGACAGAACACGCAGAACTCATGAGGAGTCTTTGGGAGTTTCGGCAAGTGATCTTCTAGGTCCCGCTCTCTGGGGTCCGCATCGTAATGACAATCCTTTGGTGGTATATTGGTCGGCACCAGACCAGAAAGACAAAGAATCGCACCAAAATGGGTCATGTACAAGCCCGAAACGATTACAGCAGAGTTATGCGACATTCCTAATAAGAGTTCTATAAGACATAGGTATATATGGGGATGTCTGCAGGTATATAAGCGTATTAGTAGACACTACGCGAGTTTGTCTGGATTCTACAAATCATGACGCTCCCGGCCTCACAGCCTTCATGGAGCAAACCTCTGGCGTGAGCAGCGTCAAAGAACCGAGGTTCACCACCACCTGCTCGGCACGGCATCTGGTGCATTCTCTAAGGCTCGGGGTAAGGGTGTATGTGGCAGGTTATTATGGTTATGCTCCCTGGAAAAAGGTTGAAGGGACATTCAGGCAAGTATATACATATATATACATACTATATGACTATACTGCATAGGGTTTAGAAGGTTTGTTTCTAGGACAGTGGAGAACCAAATGGAAAGAACATAGAATATGAAATGAAACCTCTAGCTGAGGGCTGATAGGGATACATCAGGCTTTGACAAGTCAGTGTTCATGGTGGCCGGATGTAGATGGCACCGTCTAGAGGCATGGCGAGACAAGAAAATGGTCCAAAATGCTCCATGCTAAAACATTCACAGATGCCCTGCAACTGAAAACCTACAGGGTCCAAGTATCCATATAATTGGGGGTATCAGGTCCAAATACCACTCAGAATAGAGTATTTGGGGCCTAGGACCCTATCACTGAAACCCTGGGCTGGCAAATACTGGCAGCTTGACTCCCTGGGGCTCAGTAGGCTGCAGGGACGATGATGGCGGTCATATTTGGAATAATTAACTTCCATTCCTGTGGAATAAGATAGGAGTATTGGCAGATGTTTACTCTAGCTTCTGCCTAGACCCTCCTTCTAACCTCTACTGTACCCTAAATACTCACTATTAGGAACCGTATACCCCTATTTAAGGGTACTAGGAGGGTCCTGGTACAGCAATCTTGCCCCATCACGAGCCTTGCCGATATCACGAACGGGCAGGTGGATTTTCGGTGAGGCAAGGCGGACGTCGAAGTGCACCTGGCCAGAGGTTGCTGGCAGCTCGTGTCGCATGTCGGGGTTGCTGTTAAGGAGCTCGTAGTTATAAGATGGGTATATATTGGGTAATACGTATGGGCATGCAGTAATGAAACAACTGGGTTTCCTCGTTGAGGTACATGGGCGTATTTTCCTTACCTGGAAGCCCGGACAACGTATCGTTCAAGCTGATGATAATGTGAACGTAAGCCAGAAAAGCATGTTCAGGACATCCCTAGCTACTTAGCATCAGTACACTTTGGCGTTGAACTCCCATGCAGAAGCCTCTACCTAAATCCTCGATCCCTGACCTACAGTATCATCTTTGTCTTCTTTATCGCGGTACAGCGTTTAGATAGAGGTGGCCAAAAACAAGTCCCGAGTAGAACTACAACCCTACAACAGCGGCCTTTTTCTGCGCAAGAGCAAGAGCCAATTACCGCTAGCTTCCGGCTTTCCGTACTTTGCTGGGTAGCGGTGGAGCCATGGCTTCTTCAGGCGTAATTCCTCTTCCCGGGTCCACCCCAATGAAGGCATGAGTAGGGTCGATTTAAACATCATTTTGGGAGAAGGTTTCGTAGGTGGGGTGCGGTGTAGGATACCGCAATTACTAGGATCCTGAACCTAGGAAGAAGAAGGGCGCTTTGCATCTTTCAGTATACTCCAGATTATTGGGCTGAGGGGTCAGGATGAGGGCTAAGGCTTCAGAGTGAATGTGAGCCGTACAAGCTTACGGGTTTTGTTTCCATAGGGCTTCAGGGCTTTTGATCCTAAGCCCTGAGCCCTAGATCATGTGGGTTTGAGGGCTAGTGCCTGGTCGGGAACGCGATCGTAGGCGGCGTCGGCATACCTCGGACGTGCTTTAAGGGGGGGCATTGTGGAAACAAGGGGCCCTTAAAAAGCCTACGTGAGCCACAGTCTAAACTCCTAGCAACCCCCTGCCTATTGTAGTCTCCCATATACTTATACAACCCCCCGTAAGCCGTTTAGATTATGGCTTATATTGAAGATTCACACATAGGAACCAGACTTTGGAAACAGTCGAGTCCTGAGGGCTTTGACTGCAGCTTTTGAATCTAGACCCTAAACCCTAAACCCTCAATCCGTAAACCCTAAACTGAAGAATCTAGGGGTTCTCCCCTCCCTTGAACCCCAAACACTTTCACCCTGCAGACCAGAGCTTGAATGCCAGAAATCCTTTCTCAACAAGGCCGGCTTTTGCCTCACTTAAGGAAGTAAAGTCTTCAGGCTAAGCACCCTAAACCACAAGCCCGGAAACCGGGTCTGCCTCCATTTTTGAACCCCCCACTCAAATCCAATCAAGCTGCTGCCCCACGTCGCCCTCCTTTCCTGAATCAGTCAATACTGTTGATGGAGAAATTCTTGCACCACTTTAAGTACCTGAATCTAAGTGCTACTAAGAATTAGGGTAGTTTAGCGGGCCTAGGTGGATCGGGATTTCCTCCATCGCAGTTGCGGTGCACGATTCAGAGCTTGGGTCCACGATTTTGATTTATAGAGTTGGGGTATTATCTTCCCTGGACCCTCAAGTAGATAGAATATGAGGCATATGGGGATCTTATTATGATATATCCAAAGCCATATTCTATTTACTTTAGGGGGACTATAAATCCCAAACACTGAAAGACCTGAACCCGAAACAACACTCCATGAAATCCGTACTCAAAGAAGAGAATCTGAGTGGTCAGGTTCTGTTTTCCAAGGCGGAATTCTTTTCCTTGAAGCATGGATGGGTCTCACACCATATATGGAGCCCAAACTCCAAAACTGACTTTTCTGGCTGACACTGAATCATTAATTCCTGAACGGTCCACAAAAAGGTCCGCAGATAGCCCCGAATGTGCCAACAGACTTGCTCATCAGGGTGCCAAGTTTTGGATCCCCTTGCGCATTCACGGGTCACTAAGTGCTAACACAATAGACCCTAAACTCTATAGTCCCCCTTAATTAGATGGAATATGGCTTTGGCTGTGTTGGAATAAGATCCCCATGTACCCCATATTCTAACTCAGGGGAACTATAGCCCTAAAGCCTATAAACCTTAAACCCTAAATAATCATTTCCATGTTTCATTGTCCCCACATAACCCCCCATATTCCGTCTACTTAACCCTAAACCCTAAACCCTAAGCTCTAAACCCTGAAGCAACTCTCCTACCGAGACCAAGTTTCCCAGAAGCTGCTGCACAGCCGAATCTTTGCCTGCCTGAGCTACGAAGCGCCAGCTCCGGTTGCTTCTGACAAAAGAGCCCTCAAGAAACTCTGGGAATGCATGATTATCATTATGATTAGTATTATTATCACCATTGTTATTTTCTTAGTATTGTTACTATCATTATTACTATTGTTGCTGCTGTTAATGGCATCATTATTAATTCTTGCTATATTATTCATTCTTGTTATGAGGGGATTATAGGGCTGCCCTCTGATCATTTGCAAACATTCCATTCCCACGCAGGCGGATGTTGAGAGCAATGAGGTCAAGCCAAGCTTCAAAAACTTTGGCGTGGCAGTCTAAAAGTCAAGGTAATGCGCGTCTGTTTGGAGCCCTCCCCCTCCCTACATGCGAAACCAAACAGTAATCTTCTGGAGCCACGGTTTTGGAAGAGCTCCCTGGCGCGATATGATAGTGACTAGCAGTATATCCCCTAGATTAGCTTCCTTCGAAATCACATGGAAGTCGGAGACTGAGACTACAATCTTCTTCTTCTTAATCGCCACTTCTGGTAGGCCTGCGGTTAAGTCTCCAACCTGCATTAGGATGGACTCCATCGAATTTATTGCTGCCACACTGCAGCTGCTGCTGCTGCTGGGATGCGATTTCCATGAGGAATTTTAGCCCAGCATCCAAAACTACAGCATGCACACATCGCTTATGAGTAGTTACCCATACCCATAGTCCCCCAATGCCCCCATATACCTAGAAGGGCATTTCCAAAATATACTTCTCCCTTCAAGACACCCAATATATGACTCCTGTTTTAAGGGCTTCCCCCAAAACAACTTCTCTAGAAGCCCCTTGGTGAGCCACTAAATAATGTAACCCCAATATAACCCCAACATATACCCTATTATAATATAGTAGTTTCCACTCTCTTTTCCATTATCCCTATATAACCCTAAACCCTAAATTATCCCTATAGCCGGAGCTAGGATTCATCCTAGGACCTGTCAAGCCCAGTTGCAGCCCGACTGAGAACACTGGCAGGTGAGCCCATGTCGGACTTCGGAGTCTTCCTAAGATGAGAACGTTGGGATTACAAGCAACAGGCATTCATACGCGCGTTTTTACGTGACTATGGGAATTGCTATGGGAATCCACTCTTCCACTCCGCCTGAAGCGTCCCCAATAAAAGAAATGGTCTGTGAGGGCAGACTTTTGACTTATGAAGTTCATTGAGGCTTGAGAGCGGCTATCTGCCGGCTTACTGCGATTGTCTAGAGCCGCTAGTGGGTGTGGTGTGTAACCCTCAGGGTCCACCTGTCCAAATAGTAGGGCTTTAAGGTACTTAAATCCCATCATTTGGGTACTTGGACCCTTAGTGTACATGAGCTTCTTCACTGGCAGCACATCGAGAGATAGTTGCAATGGGAAGTTTATCAGGGATGTCTAGTAAAAAACGGTCGTACCATATGAGGGCTGGCTGTAGTTGAGGGCTGCAGATTCGAGGATGGACCCTATGCCCTACCTGGGCCCCAAAAGTATGTAAAATAATTGCCTTTATGGCTATCATCATGGGTTTAGGGCTATTATTTTACATACTTTTGGGGTTTAGGTAGGCTAGACGCTTTTCCTTGTTGGGGGTTTGGCTTGGGACATGCATGGCTTACCGCTAATGGGTCCAGAATTTGGGGGGAACCTGCACCACACTGAGAGTCTGGGGTGCTGCCAAGCACCCAGTCAAGATAGCCCCGGTCAAACCCCCACCAGTCCAAATCCCTGAATCTTAAACCCTAAAATCCAAGAATCCCAAAATGCCACCCTAAACCCTAAATCCTCCTCCCCCTCCATGGCAGTTTAGGGTTCAGGGTTCAGGGTTTAGGGGTTTAGGGTCCCACCCGCCACCCCTTCCGCCGCGGCGCGGCGTCTTGGCCGCCTTGGGCGACGGCTCCGTCGGAAGCATCGGCTCAGGGGGCTGCACGAAGTCCAGGAGCTTTGGCACCATGCCTATAGGGTTTAGGGTGTAAGGGTTTAGGGTTTAGGGGTTTTGCTGTTTAGGGTTTAGGTTTTAGGGATTTAGGGTCTAGGGTTTAGGGGTTTAGGGGTTTAGGGTTTAGGGGTTTAAGGGTTTAGGGGTTTAGGGTTTAGGGGATTAGGGGTTTATGGTTTAGGGGTTTAGGGGTTGAGGGGTTTAGGGATTTAGGCTTTAAGGTTTAGGGATTTAGGGCTTTAGGGTTTAGGGGTTTAGGGGCTTAGGGAAAAGGATCCCCTTTAAAGGATCTTACAGGGATATATAGTCCCCCTTAAGTAGATAGAGCATGGGGTATATGTGGATCTTTTTGTAGTATACCCAAAGCCATATTCTATCTACTTAAGGGGGACTATATGGGGGCTTCCCAAAATTAGAGGTATCTTCGGGGCGCCCCATGATCAGGTGTAGTATCTTGTGGTCTATATTGAGGTCCCCATATTCAGGATATTCAGGGCAACTAGAATTCGGGTTTAGGGGCTAGGTTTCGGGTGCATTATACAATAGCTTGTAACAAGAGATGGGGAACGAACATATTCGTAATTACTTACTTTAAGCTATCTTATATACATATATGTTATATTATTCTATATAACGCAGGCTCTGAGGGCAGCGCGCCTTTGCTCCTAATGTAATGGGTCAAATCTTTGCAAAATCGAAGTTGGATAAAAAAAAAAAAAAAAAAAAA